GATTAAGAGAGGCCACGTTGTAACACTTCCAAAGATTACCGCTTAATCAAAAGCTTTCATGGCTTGGATTGCAAAGGGTCTAGATGTTATCTGGAAATGCTATGAAGAAAGCAAAAGCCTTTTAGTTCTTCTTTTCTTTTTTTGGAGAGATTTTCACTGTAGGGCGCATGCACTCGCCAGACAGACAGAGAGAGACATAGAGACAGAAAGTGAGAAATCACCCCCCAGGGGGGATGGTCACGCCGCAATCCCTTCTCCTCCATTCTCCTCTTGGGATCTTGGGCACGCACGCACACGCGCCCGGCGTGAGTTTTAAGCCACCGGGTCCGGGACACGAACCGCGGTCGACTACGTGGGAGTCCAGCGACATAGCCATTACGCTAACTGCTGGTTCCCTTAGTTCTTCTTTGAGAAAATATTATAGTGAAAAAATAAACCTAGCAATGATACAAATAAGTTAGTACTTCCCAAAACCCCCAAAGCACCCCAGAAATAGAAGTTACCACAAGTTCAATTTGCTCTCCGAAAATACTAATATAAGTCATCTAAGCTTTCTGCTTCTCTTCCAGGTCCATGTTCTTTAAAAGGAACTGCACCGCTACCTCATTTACACACTTCCCGAGGCAAGGCCAGCTCTGCTGTGATCCTGACGCTGAGACACTTACAAGCACACCAATCCCAACGCCCATAAGCTTTAAGGGATATTTGATTTAAAAAACAAAAAAAATTGGAATTTTTAGGCAGAAGTCTGACATGACTGAGTAAAATTTCCACAGTAATTTTCTTTTGTTTCTGTGACTTAAAGAAGACTCTGCCACTTTGAGCTGGGGTTTTCAGTCAAAAAGCACAACTTTTGTTTGGTGAAAGACATTCACAGGTGGCCAGCCCTAAGGTGCAGTGGTTAACAATGTGCACTGAGAACTAGATCCCTCACAGCCAACCACGGATCAAATCATGGACCAAACAGCTTCAAAACTGTCACTGCAGGAACGTGTGTGTGCGTGCATGCCCAAAATTCTGATGAAATGGAAAAATGAAAGAAAGGGTACTCTCTTTTCTTTTTAGTTCTGCTATAGGGCATGCATACTCACTAGAGAGAGAGACAGAGAGAGAGAAAGTGAGAAATCACCCACCCCTACCCCAGTGGGGGATAGTCACATGTAATCCCTTCTCCTCCGTTCTCCTCTTGGAAGTTTGGACAGACACACACACACACACATACACACATATACACAGTGTATTTTTCAAGCCACTAGGTCTGTGAACACAGTGTTTTTTAAAAGCCACTAGGTCTGTGACTCAAACCACTCAGTCAACCATGTGGGATCAGGCCACCTTAACCTCTATGCCACCTGCTGGCCCAAGGTTTGTGTTCTCTCTCTCTCTCTGGCAAATACACATGTCCATGGCCTCTGGCAATAATTTTTTTTCTTTTTTTGAAAGTTATTTTTAATTTTTTTATAAGGTGCATGTGCTCCCCAGAGAGAGAAAGTGAGAAATCACCCCACGGGGAGGTGGGGACGTGACACGGCCCAACTGCAATCCCTTCTCTCAGGATCTTGGACGCACACAGACCCAGCTGAGCTTTAAGTCACCAGATCCGGGACTTGAACAGTGGTCAACTACATGAGAGTCCAGTGACATAACCATTATGCCATTTGCTGGTTCCAGCAATAAAAGTTTTTATGAGAATTTCACAAAGTTATTAAAATGTAATTAACAGACAGTCACACCACCACTGAACACTGAAACCCTACTGTGAGCCAGGCCTCGTTCTCAACCTCCCGTGGATGAAGCCAAGTACAAGCCAAGCCCAGGAAGGCCCGTTCAGGCCTGTGCAGAGAAGCAAGTGGAGGCAGAGGAAGACCAGGTGAGTGCATTTGAGCCCAGGCTGTCTTGCTTCGGCCTGTCTAAGCCACCGCAAACAACAAGACCACTGTCCGGTAACAAACGCCCGTCTCGGCACAAGTGCTACCAGATCCACTATGTCTGGCGGTCCCGCGGTAACCTGGACAAGAACCACTGTGAGGATGACGGCCGGGGCAACGGGCTTGCGCGTGCCAGAGATTTTCCAAGGTCTTGGAAGTGTGCTGTGCTGAGTTCTGGATCCCACGTCTCCCCTTTCCCATCGGCCTCAGCTGGAGGCCCTGGAGGCACAGAGAGCACATGGGCCGTGACAGGGGCTGGGTCTGAACGATGTGCCCCTGCTCTTCACCTGCGTGGTCTGGTTAACTCAACCTCCCACCTCGCCAAGGCCTCAGTCACCATGTGACACACGCGACTGCGACATGTCCCTTCCAGGACTTTCATAAAGGAGAAGCGGCCACTCGCTAAGCACTGAGGGGCCGAGGGCATGTCAGGTGCTGCTCAGGGTGGTCCTCAGTGCTCACCCTCGCTGTGGGTGTCCCCACCTTCGTAAGTGAGAGGACTGCGGCAGAGAGGGCCAGCAGTGGGAGGCAGTACTGGAGAGGAGGTCTGAGCTCGGGCGGCAGCGAAGCCCACACTCTGCCAGCCCTACGATGCTGGTGAGGCGCAGGCTGGAGCAGAGAGCTGGGGACGACCCCGGAGTGTGGCTATCCCGGGGCTAGGAACACAGGAGAGAACCTGGGCAGGGAGGAAACTAGGAGAGTGGGAAGTCCTCCGTGCTACGAGGGGGCAGGGCTCAACCCCACATAGAAGTCGTCTCAGGTGAGCAATGAAGGCACACGCAGGGCTCGGCAGGGAAGAGCAGCCGACGGGGCAGCGGAGACAGCTACAGGGGGCTGGGGAGGGGTGTGGGAGAGGAAGACGGCAGTGACTGACAGCTCTCCGGTCGCTCGCTCTGAAGGCAGGCCGGAGCTGTCAGTAGCTCAGTCACAACCCTGCTCAGAGCAATGGTCAGCTCCGGACCCTAAGTGCCGGCTAGTCCTGGAACAACCGGGCAGACACGCCCCTCCTGATGGACACGGGGGCTCTGGTCCGGGCCCGCGTCTGGAAAGCGTGGGAACTCGGGCGTCCTGCTTCCCCTAGCTCAGAGCTAGACCTCAAGGAAAGCCCACCTAGACCACATCCTTCCAGAGGCAGGAGACAACAGTTCGGGAATACGGGGCACCTCGTGTCACTCTCCCCACAACCACAGCAAGAACTAAACGAGGAAGAGCCAGAGAGCATGCTGCCCTCAAGCCTGTCCATATCCACCTTCCCTGTCAAAAAGCATCCCATTCGCAAACGCAAAAGGTGCAAAGGGGGGTCAGCAGGTGGCGTGGTGGTTAGGGCATTGGACTCCCACACAGCCGACCACGGTTTAAGTCCCAGACCCAGCAACCTAAAAATCACACCAGGTGTGGGTGCATGGCATGCCCAAAATCCCAACAGGAGAATGGAGAAGGGATTGTGGCATGTCCATCCCCCTTTGGGGGGTGACTTCTCACTCTCTTTCTCTCCAGTGAATGTACTGCACGCCATACAGTAAAAACTGAATGAAAGAGTGAGGAATGGCGGTGAGCAAGGCTTTGCAGACTGCCACCGCACAGGCTGCAGAGACCACGGGCTGAGCCTGCAGGACGCCGAGTACGCCCAGCCCAGCTGAGTGCTGCTACGCTGCCCAGCAGGGAAGCCTGTCTGAAACTCTGAGGCCGGCTGCTCACCTTGGCCCAGCTTGTGGGAAGGAAAGCCACGTCCCCCGAGAGCAGCCACAGTGTGGTTCTGAGCACCGTCTGGCAGGACCTCTCCCTTCCATGAGTGCTTGCAGAGCACAGAGGGCAACGCACCATCTCCCTCCAGGAACAGATTCAAAAGTGTCCTCACAAATGTGCACCAGCACAGTTAGCACAGCACTCTTCCACCACGTGCTGCTCAGACAGGGATAACGGCTGGCTCTCAGCGAGTCCCACCCACCAAGGGCAGCACGCGGCCTGGAGCAGATGGGGTGGAAGGCCACACGGATTAGCCTGAGAACACGCCAGGCACATGCACGTGGGTGCCCAGGGTCCCGAGGAGCCAGAGGCCTGGAAAAAGGGCTTCATGGCATGGAGACACTGTTGAGAGTGCATTCCTCCCTCACTACCTCCCTCTCTCTCTCTCTCACATGTGTGCACACAGATACTGTCTCATTTAAAGAAAAAGAGCAGTTTGTTTTGGTAAATGTACAAAATCGTAATAACCAACTTCTTCACCTTCTTGTTCTTACTGATCAATGCTTTCTTTGAGTTCCATAGATTGCTTTCTCTGTAAAACATTCATATCTGAAACCAAACCAGAGTACAGCAGGTGGTATGGTGGTTAAGACTCCCACGTGGCCGACCACGGTTTGAGTCCTGGACCTGGAGGCTTGCTTCCCCTCTCTCTCTGGTGAGGAGCACATGTGCCCCCTAACAAATTTAAAAATAATAATAATAAATAATTAAATAATTCTTAAAAAAATCAAATCTGACATTTTATCCTTTTATTTATTTGAAGTTTTTACATTCTACATAAGAGGCATTTTTTTTCCCTTCAGATCTCTCCATTATGAGCAGCATAAGCAAGTTAATGTCATGGGGCCACTATCCACATAAAAACAAGCATCTGTCCACCTGCCCCCAGGTTCATCATGGCTCCGGCACTCACTGCCTCAGCCGCTCACGGCTGGCCCGCCAGCACCCAGAGGGCCACCCCCGGGAGAATAGAGGCCAGCCCAGGGAAGGGACGTTACGGAGGACCAGCCCGCACAGCTATTCAAGGCAGAGCCACCCGAGAACCCCTGACAAAGCTCAGAGGTCCAGGCCAGGCAGAAAGCAAATTTCCAATGCTGAAGAAAACAAAGTTGACTTAAATAAGAATTTGCCAACTTGAACTAAATTAACAAAATATACTAAGAGCATATCACTTGAGGCTGTCTGCCCCAAGTTCTCCCACAGCCCCGACTGACTCCAGGGACCATAGCTGAACAAGAGCAGAGCTGGATCCCTCTAGGCATGCGTACACGGCACGTGT